GTGTTGGACGAGTTGTCTGAACCTGCCCGCAGTAAATGCGCTCACATGAGATCGCAGCTTAAGCAGACTCGGATTCTAAGAACACTAATAAAAGCTTGAATTAAAATGCTTTCTAATTTGAGAGGAATCTATGAGAATTTGATATCAAAAAAAGAAGCAAGTTCAACCTAACTTCACTTTTCGCATACTCATGTGAACGTCTTTCATATATGTATGATGTCAACTTCTGTATTGAACGACACTGGAGAATACAGACATAAAACCTCAAAAATATGCGAAGTCACTAAAAAAAAAAACTTATCTCACTTGACAGACTTAGGAAAAAAAGTTAAAAGTCCAGCATAATCGACATTGATTATTAAAGGATCGCCATCGAATAGTCGCAGCGGTCCCGCCACGCCTTTTCGAAGGGGCTCGAGCCCTTCCAACTCATTTCAGAGGTGAGATCTGAAGTCCTTGACAGTCTCTATGAACTTTACTTGGGCTGGGGCATGTTTCCATCACTTAAAACGGAATGGTTAAAACCCTGATTGGACTTTGACTTGTTTTTGTTTGTTAACTGCTGTTTTTGGCCGCAGTTCGCCTTGCGAATGTTTCACAAGTATGCTGGGTTGTGAACAAAACTTTCGCCCCAGGCGGGACTAGAACCCGCACCTCTCGCTTTCCGGCAAGTGCATGAAAAGCTGAGTTGGAATGAAATGGTGCCCCGGTAGCGTAACTGGTAGCGCACTTGCCCGGAAAGCGAGAGGTGCGGGTTCTAGTCCCGCCTGGGGCGAAAGTTTTGTTCACAACCCAGCATTCTTGTGAAACATCATTACTGTTGCTTTTTAAAGCAGAAAATTAACGAACAAAATAATGGAGGTCGAGGAAGAAGTAATTTACCTAGTTGAGGACCCACGGACCTCCTGAGGGTGCGAACTGACGCGCAATTCGCATCGAAAAATTTGACCTCGGCGACCTATCATGCCTCAAAGCTGGCGGGTCGGCGATCTCCGCCCACCGATCATCTGATCACTCGCCGTAGTTCAATACGTGGCGAGTGATTAGATAGCTGAGAGAGCGTAGTGTTGAAGAGGGCACAGCGATGAGAGTCGCATCAATGCTCAAATCAACGGGCAAGGAAGGGGTCCCCATTTCTCGGGTTCTGGGCCGTTTCTCATGGTTCTTCCTTCTTTCGTGTACCACTCACCATCCCTAGGTTAATTTGAAATGGGTTGCCTTTCCAGCGTGAATTCGTCCTTTAACCTAGTTGAGAGACCGGCGGACCTTCCTGAGGGTGCGGACTGACGCGCAATTGGCACCGAAAGATTTGACCTCGGCGACCTAGCATGGCTCATTGTTGGCCCGGTCGGCGAGGCCCTCCCACCGACCATCTAATCACTCGCCGCAGATCTTGTATCAATAGCCTTGTATCAATTTTAATATTTTCAAGACAGTACTCGATTGGATGATGTCACTTACGAGTTACACTTGAACATCTCAACCCAATTTAACTGGCGACAAATAGAGTTTTAAGCTTAGTTAACTATTTTTTTATCACTCAAAAGTTGCTTCGGCCGTTTTCTCGACTATTTTGTTATTGAATTCCCCCGAAATCTCCTTTCAAACCATGTTTGATGCACTGAATGAGAACTCCTTCACTTTGTCTTTATTTTCCTAAAAATCCTATGTGGTATTGCTCGTAAAGTAGGCGTAAGATCACTATTTGTACCTTTTGATGGTTGCACGCAATGCAATTTACTTTGACGCCTTTTGTAAAATATTTGAATTTCCTAGCCGACTTTATTCAACAAGTGCCCTATTACCTGAATTTCCCCTTTTTTTCGGTTTGCATTAGACAACATTGTTTTTGTTGTTTTAACTCAGGAGTAATGAATTTTTTCAACTCTTGAGCATAGTTAGCGTAGCTGAGTTATGTTCTTTTGCCGAATCATTTTTTTAAGTGCAGTTTGGGAATTATTTGATTGCTTGGTTTTCTTATAAGATATAAAACGTAGGAGATTGGGCTTTGCTACATTATTTGTTGTTGTCATGTTGTTGTGTCATATTGTTGTTGTGTAGTTTTGTTGTTTGTTGATTATAAATTTTGAGGGGAACTTAACAAGTTTAGAAAATTCAACAAAGTAATATTATGCATATGTGATTACATTGCTTACTTGTTATACAATGTTCAATTCATTGCACATTTGTCATTGCTATATTTTATACTAGACAAATAATGTGTTCTCCTTAGTGCTCATCAGTAAGTGGAAGGAGGAGTAGAGATTTGAAGCTTGTATTGTATATTAAATTATTGATCGAAAAGGAAATTTATTCATTTGAAACGTAAAAGAGCTCTGAAAATTTCCCGATCATATGCAATATATTGACCCAATTATTTCAGGTATGTAACATGAAGGGTCACCAGCCGGTCCTCGCCTGGAAGTTTGGTTAGAGCCGATTCGAACGCTATTAAATTTAAGAAGTAATGCGAGTTTTTATTGCTTGTCTAACATGCAATTTCAGCGAATTTCAACTATAACAAATGAATTTCGATCAATTCCATGGGGCAATGTATAGAAAACTTGCGGTCTGTTTTCCTTTTTTGAATAATAACAACGATTGAAAAAATATCATCTAGTCAGCGCAATGTAATGGCTGCAGTAGTGCAGCTATGGAGCTGCATCATTAGTGTGCAACACACAATATGGACGATGGTTGGCTTCGCGGCCTTATCTTTGCAACGAAGCAGAGAACCGGAGTCACGATACGAAGTTTTGAAATCATTGTGTCCGGTTCCATGAGAGCGCCTGAACGAAGATGTGAGCTTTCAAATAAGGACGTCCATAATCGCAGCATATTTAGTTTCCCAGCTTATACAAAAGGAAGTTTCTAAGCACGCTGGCCAGATGTCTGGAATTAGAAAAGCTTGGCTCATATCTGGAATTAGAAAACGCTGTGGGCATAACAGTGCCTAGGTTTATGGAAAATCTTCTGAATTACTCATACTTAAACGCTAATATTCCGTTTGCCTCGATACCCCATCCCAAACGAGAAGAAAACGCGTCCACGTCAAGCCTCGCGCCCCGGTAAGAGGTAAGTTGAAATTCAAATTTTATCCCTTGGTTCTCCGATTTTCTTTTTTCAGTTTCCTTTTCGATTGTAGTTTTCCTTGTTCCTACGAGAGGCTAGGCTTATCAATAGGAGTATGGGAAGCACAATGCACAGCACAATCTGATCTGTGTCAAAATGGAAGAAAAAATAATTGAATTAAGTGAAGCAATTACTGTTAATCCACAGTAATAAGAATAGAATGTATCGCGGTTGTTGAACCGCGATCAAAATTCTCTATGATCTTCCCAATTGGGTGGGCTGATATTGGAATTGCGCCCATTCTTGAACTTTGGACCGAAAAGGGGGTATATAGAGCCCCGAAATCGTTCCAGAAAGATTCCTTCCTTGGTGTTCTTTATTTTTAACACCTTTTTGTGTTACTGTTTTTAATAAATATTATTATTCGTTACACCTAGCATCAAAGGTTGCGCCAATAAATTTGTTATTGGACGTTGTCTTCTGGTGGACAGTGATTACGCGTGGCAGCGAGTATCAGTATCAGTACAGTATCATATATACGACTTATATTCGTATACTTCTACTTTATGGTACATCGGCATATCGGACCTCGACCTTGAGAAAAGCGCAGGTGGGACTTCAGATTGAAATTTTCAAGTGAATTTTCAACTGTTGTGCGCCGTCAAAAGATACATTGGTATTTTCTACCTTTTGCGCCGACGATTTCTTTGGGGATTTTTGCGCCTCCAAGTCTTTTTTGATACGCCACGGCGCCGACAGCTGCCTCCTTTTTTTGGCTTTGATTGATTGATTGATTTTGACATTACACAGTCATTATTGATTTTTTATTGACTTCTTTGAAGCCTGTTTTCTTAAGGCTGGAGTAACATAGAAAAAAAAGTTTCCTTGTGCGCAGTTTCCTGTTATAGGGGCTCATTTCAAAGTTCTTTTTAACAAAGTTAAGCGCCAAAAAGTATCTTCTGAGTCAGGATTCTGTTCAAAATTTTTCATAACAATACAAAAAAAAAAATTTCTGATTGATAACAATTTTGTCCGTTACAAAACAGATGGTGGGCCACACGTCGCTGCGATCGCAAAAAGCTCTTCTTACACGTTACTGTAATAGCTTGAGGGGTATCGCCGAGGGATGTAAGCACTTGGATGCAATAGGTCCTTCAACTCTAAGGGATTCGGAGGTACTCCTAAAAATTGAGTCGTCAATATTCCAACTGAGGGCCACTGCAAAACAAGTGGAGGATGCGCTGTCAACATTCACAGCATCGATAGACGCACTTGTGGAGCCCCTCTCGGAAGAACAAGAGGTCCAAACGCAGGACTACGTGGAAAAGACGCACGAAGCCCTGGAAAAGGCTCAAGCACTAGCCGTCAGAATGGAGGGCAATTTAATTGGTGCGCGAAATTGCATACAAAGGGACTGGCATAACCCTAACTACGAGACCTCTGCGATGGAACACCTTGAGGTCACCGGACCAAAGCTTCCCACCGTACCAGTTCCGACTTTTTCAGGAAGACTGGTAGAATTTGAGAATTTTTGGGCGCTCTTCGATGCGAACATTCACAGTCAGCCCCTCTCCCCACTTCTCAAATTCAACTACCTCATCAAGGCGTTGCGGGGTGAAGCGCAAGAGTGCGTTCGAAGATTCACGATCACCGCTGACAACTATACGCACGCAATTAACTTCCTCCACGCCAAGTATGGGGACAAATCGAGGCTAATAGACCACCTACAAATGCGCTTGGAAAAAGCTCGGGCAGAAAAGCCAACCCTCGAAGGACAACGAAGCCTCCTCGAGTACATCTGGCCCACTGTGACCCAACTGGAAGAGCGAGGAGTTTCGCTCAATGGTTCGTTCATCACTCAAAAGATACTATCGAAGTTCCAACCAGACATTCAACGGAAGGTTCTTGAACGTCGCTTGAAGAGCCCAATGACTGAGCACACATGGATGATGCAGGACATTCTGAAGGATTTAGACCAGGTCATAGAGACTGAAGAGCAAATTAAGCATATGATGCAAAGAACCAGTAACACCAGTCGACCAAGCACAAAAAGCACAGAAAATGGGGCCAAATATGCGCAGAAAGCAGGTATATTTTGTATCTTCTGCGCCGCTAGCGACCACAAGTCCCTCTTATGCACCAAGTACGCCTCACCTGAAGACAGGAAAAAGATGTTTTTGGACCAAGATAGATGTCTGAACTGCGGTACACCAGGTCATTTCACAAAAGCTTGCACCAAGGAAGGATGTAGGTTATGTGACGGCAAAAAGCACCATCACACCCTCTGTCCAATACGGATGAAATCAATGAACACGACACAAGCACGACCAGAACACTACAGGAAGGAGCCATGCACTACTCCAACACAATCGGAAGGGAACAAGCGAAGCGCTCATAGTGGACTGGGGAGACAACAACCCAAGAAGCCAGCTACAGTACAAGCGCATGCGGTGGACACAGAAGCATGCACAACTAGATTAAATGGGTCACAGGGAAGTGACCATAGTGACAATCTAACTGCTGTTCTCTCCACAGTCAGGAATCAGGGCATTCCATGTGGTAATGAAGCAGTTAGTTCAAAAGGGAAAAGCAATGTCTTGCTACTGACAGGGGTAGCCAAGGTAAAGGAACCCCTAAATAAGCAGTGGAAGAATGTTGAACTCCTACTGGATACGGGTGCTGATGAGTCATTCATCACCACTGAGCTGGCTAATGAACTTGGGCTTGAATGTAAGGCGCAAAAACAACTCAAAGTCTACACCTTCGGCACACAAACACCTAAAGAAACTACATGTGGCACTACAACACTGGAGCTTTGGGATGCAGAAGGGACAAAGCATACGCTACAGCTCCACACTGCACCAATACTCATGGCGACAAGCAAGATGGCGCATCTCAGTGCCGAAGACTTGGAATTCATTGCGCAGCAAAAAATCAGCTTATCCAAGCCTGAATGGAAGAGCGCATCGAAACCACAGATTCTTGTGGGATGTGACCAATTGTGGACACTTTTGAACGTTCCATACCCGTATTACAAACTGCCCTCGGGTTTGCAACTAGTCCCCTCCAAACTTGGATACCTGCTCACAGGACGTCAAGAGGCGCATGAGCTGAGCAAACAAAAAATGAAGCAAGAAATCACCCCAACAGTAATTAACGCGCTTGTAAACTACGATGAAGATTTGGAAAGGTGGGACAAATACTGGACCCTGGACTCTGCAGGCATATGCGAGTTCACTGGAACAAAGAATGCGGAAAAGGAAGCAACTAATGCCAAAGTTGCGGCATTCTTTGAAGAAACAATTCAAAAGCGCTCAGATGGGTATTATGTGCGCTTCCCATATAAAGAGAACCACCCAACATTACCTAGTAATAAGGCTATTGCGCTCAAACGTCTGCAGTCAGTGATCGGATCTCTCAAAAATACGCCCACATTATTGGAAGCATATGACAGGACTTTCAAAGAGCAGAAGGAGATGGGGATAATAGAAGAGGTTTCAGAGGCACCCTGCGCAGGTGACACCATAATACATTATATCCCTCATCAACCAGTGATTACACCCCATAAGGAGACCACCAAGTTGCGCATCGTATTTGACGCCTCAGCGCACTTTAGAAACAACCCATCGCTCAACGATGTGCTCCATCAAGGTCCTCTCATACTCCCAGAAGTATACGCCATGCTATTGAGATTTCGGATCCCTAAGTACGCCATTATATCCGATGTGGAGAAAGCATTTCTCCAAATCCACCTACAGGAAACAGACAGAGACGCAACAAGATTTCTATGGGTGAAGGATCTCGACAGACCAATCGACAGAGACAACATTGTTACGCTACGCTTCACTCGGGTAACATTCGGACTGAATGTCTCGCCGTACCTTTTGGCCGGAACCATACAACACCACCTAAAATACGAAGTAGATGATCACGATCTCACTGAAGAAATTCGCCAGAATCTTTACGTGGACAATCTTATACTCTCTGCAGACACCGAAGAGGAATCGAGAAGGAAATCTCTCAGAGCACGCGAAATTTTCCAAGAGATGGGGATGAATTTAAGAGAGTTCCTCTCCAATGATGTCACGTTGCACGAGAGCTTACCTCAAGACTCGTACGCGAAATCCGCCACCCACAAAGTTCTGGGGATCAACTGGCTCTCGGAAAACGATTGCATAAGCATTACTTGCTCAGCATCAACACCCAGCACTTTAACCAAGCGTGAAGTTATGCGCCAGATTGCTTCAATTTATGATCCGTTGGGGTGGCTCGTGCCATTACTAATGCCGGCAAAGAAGTTCCAACAGGACCTATGGAAACAACAATACACCTGGGACGCCGCTTTGCCATCACCAGTCGTCGCCCAGTGGAACGCTATCGTTGAAGATATCAACGGATTTCAAAAATTATTTCCCAGGCGCTTCACCGACCATACCGAACCAGTAAATCTGGCTGTCTTTGCCGATGCTAGCGAGAACGCAATTGCGGCATGCGCCTATATTTTCAATGGACGCTCTTCCACACTGGCAATGGCAAAAGGAAAGTTACCATCGGTGAAAACGGCGACTACAATGCCAAAGTTGGAGATGAACGCAATGACTTTGGCTGTGCGCCTTAGCTTTTTCTATAACGCAAGCAGTGAAGCACTGCATTCCCTCATATCCATGGACTATATATGTATTCTCTGACTCACAAATAGCGCTAAGTTGGCTATCCCCATCTAAACGAAGCGGCCTAGGAGTGCTAGTTACCAACAGACTGCGTGAAATACGCAGGATCGTTCACAAATTAGGAGAAGAAAGAGTAATTGTGAAGTTCGCCTACGTGAACACCTCGGAAAATCCGGCCGACGTGGGAACACGAGGACTACCAAGATGGCAGTTAGACGACCACATATGGTGGACAGGCCCATCCTTTTTAAAACAACCAGTGAAATACTGGTACAATACATTTTATCATCTCGCTGCGGATGAGAACACATCAGAGGGAGAATCCTATGGCGAAGTGTGTGAAGTAAATGCAATAGGAAGCCAAACTTCAACAATTACAGAGTTACTCTGTTGGGAGCGTTTCAGCTCGCTAACCAGAGCAAAGAGAGTGACAGCGGTTGTTCTCCGTTTTATAAAGAGATTGGTACGCCACTTAAGTCATGACGTCACAAGAAGAATTTTCGCAAGTATTCCAGAACTGGAAGACGTCTCAGACGGCGTAGGTACTCTGAATGGGATTGAAGTATTGAAAGGGCGCCTGGCTCTTATACGAAATCACCAACTCGTGCACTTGTCCCATCACTACCGAAGGTCAATGGAAAACACCTTAAGACTGTACAAGGATGCCAACCTTTTATGGAGATCGAAGGGAAGGTTGGGAAACGCCATGCTTGAAGACGAAGCTAAAAGCCCATTTTTCATTGCGCCCAATACACCACTGGCGAAATTGGTGATTCATGAAGCACATGGAGATCTTCATAGGGGCATTGAACACACAATAAGCAAAGTACGCGAAAAGTACTGGGTCCCCAAACTGCGCCAACAAGTTCGCAAGTTAGTAAGTTCCTGTGTCAAATGTCGACGCTTTAACGCGCTGCCATACCGTTACCCAGAAATGACAGATCTTCCACATCAACGGGTCATTAAATGTCGACCGTTTCAAAATACAGGGTTGGATTTCTTCGACCTGCCGTCTTGTAAAGAAGACGGAAAAATAATCAAATTGTACGGGTGCATTTTCACATGCATGGTTACGCGTCTTATTCACATAGAAGTTGTACGAAGCATGTCTACTGAAGAATTCATAAACGCACTTCGACGATTCATTGCGCGAAGAGGACTCCCACAAACTATAACCTGTGACAATGCGCCGACCTTCTTGCTCACTGAGAACATACTGGGTCAAGGAGCGGTGGAAATCAAGGCAGACATCAGGCATGAAGTTGCAAACAAAGAGATCTGTTGGCGCCACATTACGCCGTACGCCCCTTGGCAGGGAGGCTTTTATGAGCGCCTCATCAAATCCATCAAACATGCAATTTATAAAACTTTAAGAGGTTCAAATCGACGCTCTTTTGACAGCATTTGCACATTTGTTGCCGAAGCAGAAGCGAGTTTGAACTCTAGGCCACTCACCTATCAAGGAGAAGCTCATGAAATTATGAGCTCTATTCGCCCAGTGGACTTTATATTCAGGGATATGACGCTCACGCTTCCAGTCCCCGAAGACCCCAGCGCAGACGAGTGTGATCCTGATTACCTACCGCCCGATGAGGCACACCCGCTTCAATATCGGCGGCAGGTAATAGAAGCGCTCCACTCATCAAATCAGGAAGCAGAACGTTTCTGGAATATTTGGGAACAACAATACTTGCTTTCTCTGCGAGAGACGCACAGGAGACAAGTATCTAATAGCCGACAGGGAAGTGAACATCCAGAGATCGGTGACGTCGTCTTGGTCAGCGACCCTATCCTGCCAAGAAACGAGTGGAGAATGGGTCGTATTATGGAGTTGAAACGCAGTCGTGATGGCGAAGTGCGCGAAGCAGAGCTTCTTACAAGCACGAAGAGAAAAATACGCCGTCCCATAAACCTGTTGATTCCGCTCGAAATTCAGGAAGCACGAATCCCTGCTAGCAACATATCTACAAATGTTACGCCGCCCTCCGATAAGACTGGCAGAAATGATATGGCTAAATCAAGAGCGCGCACACGACCTTACAACTTGAGACCACGAACCCCAAAGAGTGACGCGCAGGAGGTAAATACGGCAACAGTGGTTAGCAACGCTCGGCGCCTTACTCCCAAATGGTTTCTTTTCCACATCATGATTCTTTCGCTTATCCAAGTCTGTTCGGGTTGCGCGACGTCTCCTGGGGGTCTTGTATGCGCCAAGAAGGGGTTCTATTACATCACAACAGCGCCTCAAGCTCTTGATACGTGCGCAAATGGATTGAAAAATACTCAAAATATTCACAGATGCGTTCACCTTGTTGAAATTCAGACAGAACTCTTTTTCAAGGAAAAATTATTCCTACAATACATAGCCAGTGATAGTTGCGCCAATTTCCACGTTAATAACAAAAGTGCTTCGTTATTTCAAAAGAATTTGGGAGCTAGCATTGGCCTACGTATACTCACCATCATTTGGCTAGCGCTGTCTATTTATCTACCAATGGCAAATTCATTATGCATAATACAAGCTAGGAGGAAAAAGCTTCCACATGTTCTTACAATACATTCACGATACCGCTGGAGAACGCCAGTGCGCCATTTTGTTTTAAACCTGTATGCGCACTAGTAAGTAAAATATAAGAAAGTGGAAGATAAATATAAAAATAGTGTGTATATGAAAAAAAAGCATTTCAATATCCTTTTAAATATGTAAAACAAATACTTTATACTAGATAATAACGACGCCAAAAATGTATGTAAACCTAAAAGCATTCAAAAAAAAGCGCCTGAGTGATCATAATCAACCTTGAAAATCCTTGAAGTTTACACTGTTGGTATAACATGGTATAACAGAGCTCTTTTAGAGTCAACATCCGCTCAGAAGTCTTCTTTATAGTAGGTGCGCCTTGTGAAAACATTCGACTATTAGCATGCCCATTCAGGTAAATCAAAAATTAGGTGCGCCTAGTAATGATTTCTGAGAGTGAATGTTTAATTTCAGAACGTAAGCGAAGTTGAAAAACAACTGCATCAAGCACAAACAAGCCTCCACAAACTGAAAAGTGCCATTCCTCCTCTTCCGGAACCAAATGTGCTGTATGAAAAGATTGTTGAGCTTTGTACTGATCATTATAATCACACCCAAGCTGTCACTTCTATCGAAGAAAAAGTCCGTAGGCTACGCTCCTCCGATAAGCCCTCCCAGCAACGCATTACCGAAATAAGCTCAATCAATCTTGAAATTGATTACATCTCTCTGCAATTTCGTTTCTGTAGGTCTCAGCTACTGACCCTTTTCTCACTCCCACCTCTGCTCATCGCAATGGACAAAATGACGAAGCAGCACTGGGAAACCCTCATGAGCCAACCGCAAGAAGTCAGCCACAATAAGCCGCTAATAGTGGACATGGACAGCCTAGAGGAAATCACTTCCGACCAAATTCAGGTGCTGAATTCCCTCCGCTCAACCCTCAACGATTTCCGTATACAGGCTCAGAATGATGCGGATAACGAACACTTCGCATTCGAGAAAGAAGTTCGAGACAAGCTCGATCAAATACAGAAGCTTACTCTTGGTTTCCAGGACGCCGTCATGGATAGATTGCGCGAAAGGCCCCTTGTAGCGAACCAAGGCGCGGGCGAGGGAATCCGCAGGATTCGCGAAGAGAACGACATAATAAGGGACAACGAAGGATTCATCGAAGGAGTGATGGAAATGGATGAAAGCGAAGCAGAAGATGTGGAGCAAGAACCCGACGACCAAGATTCTGATGATGAAGACATGGACCACAACGCTGAGCACGATGACCTTCTGGAGACGGAAGATAGTGAGGAGGAACGTGATGAACAAGAACCAGAGGAGCGCGAGTCGGATGATGAAGAGTTGGATCGCAACCATATCCCTGATGACATTCCACAGAGAGAAGACAGGAGACGAAGTGCGATTCAGATCGAACAAGAGATTCGTAGTGCTGAGCAGGCGGTTCGTAACTTCGAAGAAATTTTGCAGCAGTACGAACACGAACCCCTATGCCCACCGCGTCGCTTTGGCCAAGGACACATTACTAAAGGATACGAACGATTCATGAAGTGCGCCTTTTGTGAGGCTATAGGAATACATTACTCAGATTCCTGTACTGCTCTGCGAGACCCATATACAAGAAGGGAACTGATAAGAAGTACTGGTCGATGCCGTATGTGTCTCGAACGAGTGTGCGCCCGCGGAGCCACCTGCAGGAAATACCTCACTGCATGCTATTATTGCCGCGAACGAGGTCATCATAGTTCACTTTGCGACTTCCCGGACCAGAGTGACTACATTCGCTCACGTTTGGAAAACGCACGTGAAGGAAGGATTAGGAGCTTAATAAGCTGATGATCTTCGACGCGAATTGGCCTACCTCGGAATCGACCTTTAATTCACTTCAATACACCGCATTTAACTCCATATCCTCTCTTTCTATCTTTTTCTATTCTTGTGCGCCTTCAAGCGCTAGTCGCCCGGGGGGAATATCGCGGTTGTTGAACCGCGATCAAAATTCTCTATGATCTTCCCAATTGGGTGGGCTGATATTGGAATTGCGCCCATTCTTGAACTTTGGACCGAAAAGGGGGTATATAGAGCCCCGAAATCGTTCCAGAAAGATTCCTTCCTTGGTGTTCTTTATTTTTAACACCTTTTTGTGTTACTGTTTTTAATAAATATTATTATTCGTTACACCTAGCATCAAAGGTTGCGCCAATAAATTTGTTATTGGACGTTGTCTTCTGGTGGACAGTGATTACGCGTGGCAGCGAGTATCAGTATCAGTATCAGTATCATATATACGACTTATATTCGTATACTTCTACTTTACCATGCACATGGCACTTCATCGATGTTTGCCTAAGTAGCCCGTATATACTTGCAGTACTGGCCGACCTCCGGCCGATGGTCAGACTTCTTCACGAAAGCTCTGAACGAAAGGAATGAAGGGCTTCGTGTCCCTCGAGCGAGGAGGGTCCACTGGACAACTCTGCACGCGACAGGGACGAATGGAGACGTTGCTGGCGCCCGCTCGAGCAAATCGATGATCAACGGGACGACAGGTGATACAGGTGATATAGGTACTTGCAGAGGAACCGATCCCACGAAGCCTTGCTCAAGAGCCCACGCTGCTTCTGCTGCGCTTTTCGGCTTCATAGCCCCGTTCAGAAACTCGCTTAGCAGATTTGGAATGGCTTCAAAAAACTGGCCTGAGACTTGCCTTCAAAAAAGTATGAAATGATCTGATGCAACAGAAAAAAGTTATCGACGGAACAAGATTTGGAATCAGCGTGTTAAAATGCATAAAGGGGTATACATATCATATGGAATGGCCACGGCGACCTGAGGGACATTCCTTGTGAAAAGCTAACAGAGTCCAAGTAGTATGCAATTAGTAAATGAATGCACTCTCTATTGCAGCTCCTTCCATCTTTCTTCAAATTTGCGAGTTTCCCATTTTTTCTGCATAAGCATTCATTACTCTTTGTTTCGGCAATGTTCATGATATGCAGTTAAAGTTGTCCCTCTTTAAGGGCACGCCATGCTGTCGAGAGCGCTCATGCACAATTGAGCTTCAATGCTCCGAGTCGCTCCACTGCTTCAAGACGAAGTCAGTTCGGTGTCAGTCAGTTTTTTTTACAATAATTTGAAAACCACCTGGAATTCAGTCTCACTCGGGAATTCCCATATACTCTCTAAGTGAAGAAGGCCTGCCTTCAAAAAATATCGAAGTATGACATGATCTGATGCAGTGAAAAGCGTTACCGACGAAAAAAGGCTCCACCGAATAGTTTTGAGCGCTACTGCATGTCCCATACATGAATTCTCTGCGCCTCACGTGGCAGCCATTTTGGCTGGGTAAGGGGAGGAAAAGCCAGGTCTATATAGTTTCACGGGCGGAAGTGGTGTAGTGGCAAGTGGCACGCTTACCACGCGAGCGGTCCGGGGATCAAATCCTGGGTCGTGAGTCGCCCGGGCCAACCAAGCCTTCCATCCCTCCGGGGTCGGTTAATTGGTACCAGACTTGTCTGGGAGGATAAAACACTGACTTGTACATCGGCTGGCCCCCGCAAGTCATTGTATAGGCCACATCGCATTCAAACGCCACTACGAATGTACAAATGGAAGTAGAATGCGTGCCGCATCCCAAAAAGGGATTGATCAACGGCAAATGCTTTATCCTTTTTATTTTTATATAGTTTCATGTAGAATGATAGGCAAGGGATGGAACACGGAAAGGAAGTCTTTCACTGCCAAGTTTCCCCGTGCCTGGCTCATCTAAGTTCCTCATTTCAAAGGCGATCAGAAGACTCTCTAAGACTACTGCTTACAGGTTGGAGTGCAGCAAGATAAAAATAATGCATCTTTACCTGCCGATGTCACAGCTGATCAGGGTTAATTAGAGAAGATTTTGTGTACCCCCGCATTACTTAAAAAATGTGAGCCAGGATCAGCATCAACAGCATCTCCAGAACTCCAGCTAAATTGGACCAAGGACGTTGGAGCACGGTGAACCATTCTCGATGATACTTACCAAGATGAAAGGGTTTCTATAAGAATCTCTGGTCACCAATTTTCCTCACAGCGCCTCAGTGACCTCAGGCATATGCCGATCTGAAAGTGCCTCTGTGAATGCGCGTTCCGTCAAAAGGTCTTAAGAGGGCATATGTGGTAATTGAGCGTTGCGGACAAGGGAGTAGGGGGTTCTTCCAATCATAAGGGACCTATGGCTCCTCACTTCAAATGTTTCCATTCGCATGCGAAAAAGGAGTTTGGCTGTGTCGATTGGTTCTCAAGATCAAATACTATGTATAGAAACAGTCATTGTGAAGTCATGGCCACGTTAGAAGATGCCTATACAGAATAAACAGGTGACGAGTGACAAAAACAGCGGACCCTGCGACTGCGCGGGACTAACGCTAGGGAGACGATGAAGAGAAGCGTCATGGTAGAGAGGGTGATAGTCGGGACGAGGAGGGAATCGCATAGGCGGACTCCGCTAAGGCCATGATAGGGGGCGTCGCTTATCGAGACTCGCTCTGGAATAGCTGGGCCGTTGACCCGTCGTGGCGCAGGGGGAAATACCAAAGATTATCGTGGCACAGTCACTTCCAGAGAAGGCAACAGCTAACAAAAAATGAACAAACAAATACACCACTAAAAATACCATACTATTGAGCTATTTTAGTCAGACATCAGTTCTTTACTGACAGTAATTTTTTTGATAACACGTGTGGACAAGCAGGCCATTTTCTTCGTTTGGTAATTATACCTCTTGCGTTTTGCCTAGGTGTCGTATCACTCAGCTATAATCGCATGACGGAATCACATGATCTTCCACAAAAACCGCCAGCGCATTCCGATTTTCAACGGTCAGCAAACGACTGCCCAGTACGCTTCATTTCTACCTAGTTTAGTTTAATTACGATCAATTGTTATTAAGTCAAAATACTTCTTCACAATTATATATTATTATTGTTTATATTCAGATGAACGTAATGGGACGGAAAATCAACGAAAAAGAAGAGTAAGAAGTCGCGGAGCACAGACGGTTCGACCAAGACTGTGCGCTCTTCTATTAGGTCGTGAAGAAAGTTCTTGCGCTTTTCGACCTTGATTTTCAAATGCCTGTATCTCGGCTCATTCGAAACCTTTTTGATCGGAGTAAAGACTGTTAGAATCCACAAACCTCTGCCAATAACAGCTGCGTTGAATCGGCCCGGTCGTGCGGAATACTGGAGCTCTAGAGATGATGAACCCGGCGGAGGTCGTTTTCCGCATCATGTTGGGTTTTGAAGCATAACTCTTTGGAGAAGCTATCCAGGTAATCGAGAAAGTGACACGTTATAGGCCAAAGGTCTACCGAATAAGAAGAAGTAAGCACTAATTCGTGGCTCAGCTGGTTCAACTTCTGCAAGGTTGGTTGTGCGATGTGCGTCCGAGCTACCTGTCAGGGACGAGCCGGTTCCTTTATAATGAGGAATTTCGAGCATATGTGCCAGAGTTCTAGGAGTAGTTTGACACATTATCAGGAGTACTTTTTCCACATTAACAGATCCACCTGGTTACGAAAAGCTAGACCAGCCGCTGACCTTATGAAAGTCACCTCAACCTTCCTTCAGTGAAGTTTCACTTTTGCAAAGTTTGTAGAGCCTGATCGCGGTCGATCACTTCACCAGCGGTTCGTATTCTGTAGCAATGAATCCGTTCTCTATCGTGTACGTTCGCAAATGATCAAAAATATCAGGTCGTTTCATGGCATGAAACAAGCTAGAACGCGGCGAACGACCCTTCAAAATGGTGTGGCACGCCCTATTTGAATTTTTGGGACTTTCCAGCTCTTCCCGTACAACAAGAAAACATGCAAGTGCGATTAGTTTAGGAGGAACCCTCTCAATAGATTTGTGCAAACGTGCTTCAACCAGAACGTTCGGCTAATCGTTGGCGTTGTCCAATCTCCGATCACCACCCTCACAATCTTTAGGGCTCTCGCTATTCTTACAAAAGCTTTTTGAACAATTGCTTCAGACCATATTTATTGCGAATCTCAGCCAAGTGCGTCTATAATATCTTGACCTGCTTCCTCTCCATACTGGCCTGCTTTGAGTAGGAAAGGAAATCAGTTGCAAAATTTGCTATTTGAGATGCCGTTAAATCAGGGCTTCAAAAGAAAATTTTGATAACAGCTAAATAATAAGGGACCTGGCTAGCCTAGCTGTATAGATAGAACAAGAAAAGCTCTTCAAAACCGCACATACCAGCTCATTGGCAGATTGCTTGAATTCGTAACAAAATTAAGCGTTCAAAAACGAAACACCGAAAAGCGCAAGAACTTTCTCACGACCTAATAGTACTACAAACTGTTTTCCGAACTTAGATGAACGTTTTATTGAAAAGTCCGCGATAGAGTTATCGAACACCAACTTATCTAACTAAAGGGTAACTTTTATTCAAATGACAAGAGCGGCATATTAGGTCTTGGACACCTATTCTTTTCGGTATGGAACCTGAATGGGCCTTATATGGTGGCTTTTTGTCCGTGCTGTACCCACTATCCACCGTCTGGGGTCGCTCCTCGTTTCACGTCCCGCGCCACTAACCGGCTAGAGATCTTTCAGTAAGAGAGGATCTTCAGTGAAAGAGATCTGTGGAAATGAGCCAAAATGTACTCGATTCTTAGGGACAAAATTCTTCTCAAATGCAGAGACCTGCTTCATGGAAACTATGTATCCCGACCAGCGTGTGCGCCTTATTTTCAGGACTTGACTAGTTTTTACGCGCAAATACCATCATATGTTATAATAAGGGCGGAAGTGGTGTAGTGCAAGTGGCACGCTTACCACGCGAGC